CCCCCCCCCCCCCCCCCCCCGGGGGGGGGGGGGGGGGGGGGGGGGGGGGTCTCAGCCGTGTGTGAGGGGGGGTCACTGTCCCCCCTCTCCCGCCGCTCCCCGTTGCCATGGCGACGCCGCCACCCACGCAGGGATGCGGTTGCCACGGCAACGCATCACCCGCCTGCCCCTTCCCCCACCCCGCACCCGTGGTGGGGGGGGGTTTTGGGGTGGGGGGCTCGGGGACCCCACGGCCACTCCGCTGCCCCCCCCCCACAGAGGGACAGGGGGACTTCCCCCCCATCCCCCCCGGGTGTTTTTGGGGTGGGTGGGGAGAGCGGGGCGCGGGGGGAGGGTCCCCCACGAGCCCCCCCCCACGCGGCGTGGGGACAAGGGGCCCTTTGTGGCTCGGGGAGCGGCGCGGCCGCCTCCGGCCCCCCCGGGCCCCCCCGGAATGCGAGGCAGGGCCGGACCCACGGACACGGCCCGGACCCACGGACACGGGCCGGACCCACGGACACGGCCCGGACCCACGGACACGGCCCCGACCCACGGACACGGCCCGGACCCACGGACACGGCCCGGACAAACGGACACGGCCCGGACAAACGGACACGGCCCCACTGTCCGGCCCCAGCCCCACGGACACGACCCCCGACCCACGGCCGCGGCCCCCCCGTGCCCCGCCCTGCCCCACGGCCACCGCCACCCTCGGTGTCGCGGGGGTCCCACGCGTGTCGCGGGGGTCCCGCCCCGCCCCGGCGGCCTGTCCCCCCCCGGGCACATCTGGGGCACAGCTGGGGCACAGCTGGGCACAGCCGGGCGCGATCCTGCCCCCTCTCCCCGCCCCACTCGTGCCTCAGTTTCCCCGCGCCGTGGCACGGGGCAGGGCCGGGGCGGGGGGCGCCGAGCCCCGGGGCCCCCCCGGTGCCCCCCGCGGGCCCCCGCCCGTCCCGTCCCGTCCTGGCCATGCGGAAGCGGCGCCTCCCGCGGCCCAGTTTGGGACCAGTTCGGTCCCAGTTCGGTCCCAGTTCGGCCCCGGTTCGGCCCCGTGCCCGCCTCGCGCGCCCCCTCCCCACGCGCGGGACCCCCCCCCCAAAACCCAGAGATGTCCCCAAACCCGGTTTGGGGGGGGGCGGGGGTGGGTCTGGTAATGGGGTCCCACTCTGGGATCTGGAGCAGGGATCACCTGCTGGGATCTGGCTCTGGGATCCCACTCTGGGATCTGGTAATGGGATCTCATACTGGGATCTGACACTGGGATTCCAAAGTAGGATCTGGAGCAGGGATCCACTCTGGGATCTGGTGTTGGGTCTGGTAATGGGGTCCCACTCTGGGATCTGGAGCAGGGATCACCTGCTGGGATCTGGCTCTGGGATCCCACTCTGGGATCTGGTAATGGGATCTCATACTGGGATCTGGCACTGGGATTCCAAACTGGGATCGGGAGCAGGGATCCCCTGTGGGATCTGGCACTGGGATCCCGCCCAGGGATTTGGCCGTGGGATCCCATCCTGGGATCTCTCCCTGGGATCTCCCATGGGAATCTTGTCTGGGGATCCCATCCGGGGATCTCGCCCAGGGATCTCACCCAGCTCCAGGGATCCCCTCCCCTGGGGACACCGCCTGCTCCTCTGGGGATTTGATGGCCTTATGACAATCACCACCATCATAATCATCACCATTGTTATCATCATCATCATCACCATCATCATCATCATCATCATCATCATCATCATCATCATCATCGTTGTCATCATCATTATCATAATTGTCTTTGTCATCATCTTTGCCTCCATCATCATCGTCGTCATTGTCATTGTCATCATCATCATCGTTGTTGTTGTCAGTCATCATCATCATCATCATTGTCATCATTGTCATTGCTGTCATCTTCATCATCATCCTCATCATTGTCAGTCATTGTCATTATCATCATCATCACCCTCATCATCATTGCCGCCATCGCTGTCCCCAGTGTCCCCAATGTCCCCAATGTCCCCAGTGTCCCCAATGTCCCCAATGTCCCCAGTGTCCCCAATGTCCCCAATGTCCCCAGTGTCCCCAGTGTCCCCCCAGTGTCCCCAGTGTCCCCCCAATGTCCCCCGTGTCCCCAGGGGCCCCTCTGTCCCCCGTCCCGGTACCTCGGAGCGCGCCCCCGCCGCGCCGCGGGGCCAGGGCACCATCTGCGCCAGCTCGGGCAGCAGCGAGCGCCACTGCCGGGGGGACCTGGGGACAGCAGGGGACATGAGGGACATGGGGACACCGCCCCAGTGTCCCCAGTGTCCCCCCAGTGTCCCCCCAGTGTCCCCAATGTCCCCAATGTCCCCAGTGTCCCCAGTGTCCCCGGTGTCCCCAGTGTCCCCAATGTCCCCAGTGTCCCCAGTGTCCCCCTCCAGCACCCCCTCGGTCCCCGTCAGATCCTCCTCGTGCTCCACGTGCAGCCACACGCTGCTGGCCTGGGGACAGGGGACACGGGGGACACTGGGGGACATGGGGGACACCATGGCGGGGTGAGTGCTCCACGTGCAGCCACACGCTGCTGGCCTGGGGACAGGGGACACGGGGGACACGGGGGACACGGGGGGTGACACTCACGTGGCCACTGCCATTGACTGCAGGGGTGACACTGGGGTGACACTCACGTGATCAGTGCCGTGGGGGTGACACTGGCTGTGGGGGACACTGTGAGGGGGTGGCACTGCATCAGTGCCAGTGACCGCAGGGGTGACACTGGGGGACACTGGAGTGACACACGAGGAGGTGGCACTCACGTGGTCGGTGCCATTGACCAGGGGGTGACACTGGGGTGACCCTGAGGTGACACCGGGTGTGGGGGACACCGGGGGGGGTGACACTGATGTGGTCAGTGCCGATGGCCACAGGGGTGACACTGAGGTGACACTGAGGTGACACTTGAGTTTCCACAGACTGACCCTGGGGGGGTTTGGGGGGGGGAGGGGCGCACCCCCAAATTCCACCCCCCCCTCCCCTCCCCCCAAGGTCGGTGCCGATGGACACAGGGGTGACACTGAGGTGACACTGAGGTGACTCTTGAGTTTCCACAGACTGACCCTGGGGGGGTTTGGGG